ACAGTCAGTTAATTCATCTATAACATTGTTGCTTTGGAATTATTACTTTATATTTGCCTATTTAAACTCAAAGTGACCTTTGTTTTCGGTGAGTCTCATACATATTTCTTGTTGTTATTTTCGACTTATTCATATCATATATTTCAATCCTCAGCTTATTATTATTGCTATTGTTATTATTTCTTCGTATCATGTCACTTGATAATTCACCAAGCCTTTCATCTAAGTCTATTTCCGTGGGTGCCATCTCTGTACCTTTACCTGTCTTTAATCCCCGAAAGGCCGAACTGTGGTTTGCACGCTTAGAAAGCTTTTTTGTTGCAAACAGAATCACAAATCAGAACACAAAATTTAGTTATGCAAACTCATTGCTGCCAGACGATGTTATAGAACAAGTGTCTGACGTCATTTTTAAACCGGATCCAGACTCACCATACGATTGTCTAAAAATAGAGGTCATTCGTGTTACATCTCTCACCGACCAGCAAACAATTGATCAACTTTTAGCTAATGTAGAGCTAGGTGACAGTACACCATCTCAATTGAAACGCCACATGACAAATTTATTGGGGAATCGTACAGTAGATAAACGTCTATTCTATCAATTGTGGCTCAGACGTCTCCCACAAAACATTCAACAAATACTAGCAATCGGAGACGAGGATATAGATTTTGATAGGCTAGCAGATATAGCCGATAGAATTTACGAGCGAACTAAGACGCACTCCGTATCTCACATACAATCAAACTCATCTGACGAGATCGCCGAGTTGCGACGAACAGTCAAAGTCCTCGCTAATCAGATAGCTCAGCTCCAATTTTTGAATACCTCCCACAGCAAGCGGAAAGAAAGGTCCAGAAGCCGTAAACGTCGTAGTCCAAGCACCACTCGACATAACATTTGTTGGTACCATAAAACGTACGGTAAGCAAGCTAAAAAATGTACTCCTCCCTGTAATTTCGCAAGCACACAACAAAGAGACCATCATGAACGTCGGTTAATGACGACTGCAGTCGCTGAACACAACTCTCAAAGCAGTCGCTTGTTATATGTTACAGACAAAAGGACTGGAACACAGTTCTTAGTCGACACTGGGGCAGAGGTTAGTGTAGTACCACCCACTACACTTGAGAAAAACACACCTGACCCCAAACTAAAACTACAAGCCGCAAACAGATCTGAGATCAAGACGTACGGCAAAAGGCAGTTACAATTAAATTTCGGTCCTAAATCCAATTTTTCATGGAACTTCATCATAGCTGACGTGCTCATTCCTATAATCGGCATTGACTTTTTACAATCCCATAAAATACTCGTAGATGTAAGAAATCGGAAACTTGTCCTTGCTGACCATAGCAGCGAAATTAGAGGGATTATTTCTAACGAGACATCCATACATTTATTGATCAAACCTCATCGTGAGAATGACAAGTACGTTAGTTTACTTAATCAGTTTCCAGACTTATTACGACCGAATTTCAAACGGGACAAACTGACACATACCGTCGTACATCATATAAAGACAGAGGGTCCACCAGTGTTCGCACGTCCAAGACGCCTTGACCCCTCTCGTTTGGCTCTAGCAAAGAACGAATTCAACAAAATGATAGAGTTGGGTATCATACGCCCCTCCGATAGTCCGTGGGCATCACCGCTCCATTTGGTACCCAAGAAAAACTCTTCCGAAGTTAGACCGTGCGGTGACTATAGAGCTCTCAACAGCCGTACTATACCAGACAGATATCCACTTCCACATTTGCATGACTTCACTCATAGTCTATCTGATGTGACGATTTTTTCAAAAGTTGATCTCGTCCGCGCTTACCATCACATTCCAATTCACCCGGACGACGTTCCCAAAACAGCCATTACTACCCCATTTGGATTATACGAATTTGTTCGCATGCCTTTCGGATTAAGGAATGCTGCACAAAGTTTCCAGCGTTTTATCGACCAAGTAGTACGTGGCTTACCTTTCGTATATGCTTGCATAGATGACCTTCTTATCGCAAGCAAAAATGAAAATGAACATCTAACTCATCTGAAAATGCTTTTTGAGAAGCTAAACGAGTATGGGTTAACAGTCAACCCTGACAAATGTGAGTTCGGAAAACAATCCCTCACCTTTTTAGGTCACGTAATTGATAGTCAAGGCATCAAACCAGTTCCTGAGGAAACACAAGCCATCAAAAATTATCCTTTACCTGATTCATTCAAGAAACTACGACGTTTCCTTGGGATGATCAACTTTTACAGACGTTTTATTCCGAAATGTGCAGACATAGCAAAACCGCTAACTGATTTATTAAGGGAACGAGCTAAATCATTGACAATGACACCGCAAGCAATTCAAGCATTTGAACAGTTAAAAAGCACCTTAAGCACCGAGGCATTACTAGTACGTCGAAAGGTTGATGCACCGTTAGCAGTAATGACCGATGCCTCTAATGTAGCAGTAGGCGCTGTGCTTCAACAACATGTCGATCAACAATGGCAACCCCTTGCATTTTTCTCAAAAAAGCTTAACGCAACGCAAACAAAATATAGCACATTCGGTAGAGAACTGTTAGCTGTCTACCTAGCCATCAAACACTTTCGGTATATGTTAGAAGGCAATTCTTTTACGATATATACGGATCATAAACCTCTAACTAAATCCTTGATGCACAATCATGATAAATACAGTCCGCGCGAAATTCGTCAACTAGAATTCATTTCGCAATTTGCAGCTGATATACGATACATAAAAGGCAATGCAAATGAGGCAGCAGATGCACTATCGAGATTAAGTATCAATACCTTCTCGATCCCTGATATAAACTATCAAGACATAGCAAATATTCAAAGGCTCACTGCTGTTAGCATCAACAGAGTAAAACCACCGTTTTTAAAGTATACTGAAAAAAACACAACCATAAAACGGTCTAAACCTGCATCAGAGCAAGCACCATACAGACTAACCGCAACAAACATTACTTCACTCCGAAGTACGCCAACAACAGAAACCACAACAAGATCAGGAAGAAGAGTACACTGGCCAGATAGGTATGTAGCAACCACCATATTTATCTAGACCAAGTCCTGAGATTGCTCTTATAACACAAAAATGCTTCTTTATTTTCATTACTATATTTTATTGGCCCCACGGATCTTCATTATGCTTACATTTTAACTTTATGAAATTCGTTGATGTTAAATATACATTTATACATACATGATACAAAGAGTTTCAACACACAAGCTGTTATGACAACTTAACGCTTACTCATCATCATATCAAATTGTACATTTATTTTAAAGACAATTTCGTTTTTCATCTTTTTGTCGAACATAGATGTTAATAAATTTTTTTTTGTAAATAAAAACATCAATGTTCTGGATGGGAGCTTATGTAGCAAGCCCATTCCATTAATGTATTATTTGTCTACACAACTGTGTTAATTTCCATATGAGTATGATTGAGCGTGTGTCTGCACTTCTATCCCTATTCTATTCCCCATTGGTTGTGACACATAGATAATCAATAATTTATCTACACTTGATTGATACTCAAAAATATATATGGATCTTTTAACACAGACACACACACTTTGATTTTTGTCTCACTCGGTGCTTGCTTGCTGTATGCTTGCGGACTTTACCAGGCTTTCACAATAAACTATCTCTATAACTGATTTTTGGGCTTTTTAATGATCTCGAGTAAAATCGATAATTCTACTAGGAGATTAAGCCTGTATTAAATACTCGGTTAATGAGATATCTTTATTTGGAGTCGAATATAGAGGAAATTTATCTCAACAAACTTGGTTAACCTCTACAAATTATAACTTAAAATCTGTTAAAGCTCATTACGTAAAGCTGTATTTTTTGCTAAGCAAGAAATTTCCATAGCCATAGGTAAAGTGGTTTCTCGCAGCTATATGAGAACTAGTGTACATGAAGTTTGGAATTGTGCTTAATATTCTGAAGGTATAAAGTATCATATTATCTGTGGAACGTGTTGGTTTCGAGTCTAATTCTGTGTGGTATGACGAGTATGTATTGTTGAGGAGTCGAAAACAAGATGGAATTGGTGCCTATCGCCCACTTTATTTTCAACCGTATTTCAGCTAATATCCTTTTCGTGATGGAAGCTATTTTCAAACTATAATAATTTCTACAAATAAAACCAACCAAAGAAAATTTTTATTCTGCTAGATTTACAAAGTAGTTAAGCAGTTCTGTGGACAACAGTACTAAATATTTCATAAAATATATCATATGTCTATGATAATTAATTATATATATCACTTGAGAGTCTTTCACGGAATCAGTCAGTGAGTAAATTTTTAACCAGTTCAAATGTAATTGCTAATTATATTATCTGAGACTGTCCTTGGTAGCCTTTGAGATCAATATCAAGATGTCAATTTAAACAAAACTCATTTTGCTAAAATAACAAAACTATATACTAATTCGATCATACATATATGCCGTATTCTACATCATACCATCAAGTCTATCGAAAAAATTCTATGTAACAAAATTTCAAATCCGTCATAAGTCAGTAAGAGCAGTGGTTGGAGGTAACGGAGAAAACCCTGAATCTAGTTTTCGTGTTGGTTGGGAATTATCGACAAGAAATACCTACAATATTTAGAGAACTCATATTCTGCGTGGGATTATAAATCATGTCACGCAGTTTCAAAATCTGTGTACTTACTACGCACATATTCAGGTTGTCACTAGCTCGAGTCGGGATCACACAGGGGAAATCACTTTCCTCAAGATCGAAAGTATAGCATACTTATGAGCACCCAGTAGCACAAAAACGGAGATCCATAGTTTCTTGTCGATTATTACATCAAAATACAGTGTAAACGGTTTAACGTCACTTAGACCAGTGACCAGTGGTCTCGTCTCTGTTATGATTCACATTCACTTTTGACCACAAACTACATCAATGTAAACTTCTTGCAATTTCTCAACATCAACTATCCCAGATTGCGATGAAAGTTTTTTAGATAATAGATATAAATGAACTGATTACATCAAAACCTACTAATTCTTTACGATTGGCAAATCGGACACTTTCTAACCACCAAGTTACAAATGGATTTTTACATAGAGCACAAAATCCAGCTGTTTGCCATTGTTTTGATCCTATAATACCTTCTAACCAAGGATTACTAACACCAATACTAAAAAAAAAAGAATAATACATTTTAGATAAAGTTAAATATTACTCAATAAATCCTAGACGGGATAATTTTCGTAAGACAATTTCCTATATAAAAAAAATGTTTACATCAAAATAAAGTGAATATCAAACAGTCTACTTTCAATGTTAAAACATTTTCTTTATACGTTGAAGTAAATAAATCGTTTCGTGTGAATGGATTAGCTTCAGCGTAGAATTCTTTTAATTTCAACTGCGTAAACTGGAATTGTAGAAAAACAAAACATAATTTATTCAGACTGAACTCTAATTGAAGATTATTCGGGTTTATCATTTATTGTTATCAACTGACATCATCTGGAGAATAATTAAGAACAAGTATATATGTGACAATTACTTCGTTGTCGGACTACTTAGAATTGTAGATTAATAACTCAACATAAAATTAAATCTAGGGCATTCCGGGTTATAGAGAGCATAGTGCTTTCAAACCAATGCAATGATTCGTATTACTAACTTTTATCATTCTTCACTGAATGATGTAAAAATAACATTTTGGATTGACGGAAGTTGAAAATTACTACCGTTTACTTCAACTCAGTCGTGAGAATAAATAGTGATTGTTCTGGATTTGATCCTATGATGCGTCGTAGATTTAAACTTCGTAGAAGTTCAGTACTAAGATGAAACAGATATACTAAACTCGCTAACTTTTTGTAATTTTTTATCAGTTGTTGAATAGTAATAAAAGTGAATTTCATCAAGAAGTGTAGTCTCATAAAATAACCCTCATTTTATAAAATGACTTACGTTGGATGGTAAAAGTTGTAAGTTATTACCAGCTAAGTCTAAAATTGTTAGGGATTTCAGTTGCCCGAATGTCTAAAATCCAAATTCTCAAAATAAATATCATACTACTTACCTCAGGTAATCGTGTTAAAAAGTTCTTATGTAAAATAAGTGTTTTCATATTTTGTAGTAGACCAAAATTAAATGGCAATGTCAAAATATGATTATAACCTAAATTTAAATATTCTAATTTGTTAAGCATTGAACACATTGACTCTGGTAGTGTCGTCAATTTATTGTGAGAACTTGACAAGTATTTCAAATGGGCTAAACTAAACAAAGTAAAGTAATGATAATTTTTTAATACTTGGATATTGAGTCACTAAGTGCATTAATACAATTATGATTGAAATTTATGTATTCAAGATTAACCAACTGTTCTATAGAAAATTTAAGTTATTTAGCAAAATATCAACTACCGAAAAGTGTACTTGGAATAGATTGAAGTTGATTGCTATACATACTGATTGATTTGAGTGATGTCAATACAAATACAGAATTAGGTATTGTTGTAAACCAGTTATGACCTAAATTAAGTGATTGTAGCTGATAAATAAATTAATAGAGATTATTAAACAATGAAAGGGACAAACTCACATTTTTTGGTAGAATTGGCAGATTGGATAAATTATTTGAACGTAGATCTAATATTACAAGCCAGTTAAGAAATTCAATGTTGGATGGTAAATGATAAAGTTTTTTATTACTTAAACTCAAACGTTTTTGTTGAGTTGTGATTGCGCGTAAAACAATTAAATCAACATTTTTCATGTCTATTTGAATAAACAAAACCATACCATCATTTAACGTTCATTGACAAAGTATGTACAAAATCGTTTATTCACATGTTAGCTATTTGAGACAGTTTTAAACTCAATACGTTTGTTTGTGAACAAGGAAGATGTTGACGATGTTAATATTCATCGGAAAAGAAGCTTATAGCTTAATAAAAACTTTGGCATTTCCAGACAAACCGATTTCTCTCCCTTATGCAACTTTCAAGCAACTATTACTAGACCATGTGAAGTGTACAAATTTTGAATGCAACAAAGGAGAAAAATTTCATAAAATGACTCGTTATGACATCAGGAATCCCACTACTTTAATACTTCGTCCCAGTCCAAAGCGTAATCAATGTTATTCAGATAACGATTCATTGAGAAATTGCGAATCAGGTGACGATGATGAGCACAAGTTTGGTAAATGCGTGTTCTGTGACAAGTTTCACCTATGTAATTCATATGCATTTTGTAATTCTAAATGCTTTAAATGTGGTGAGATTGGACACATTCAGTCAGTTTGTGATACTACGGTTCATTTCACTGCAACTAATGCTAAAATTTGTAATTGTGATCCTATTAGGTTGGGTGTTTCTAATGATTATTTATCTTTATCCACGACTTCGGAAAGCGGTATAGAGTCACATAGCAGTCCAGAGTTAAATAAAACTCAGAATCACTGTTTCTAATCGACCAACTTATTATCAGATTTCTCATGTTATTGTACCGAATGTGGTTTTTCCTAATGATCCACATATTTCTGAATAAATTTCTTACAAATTTGAGGAAAATATGTTGAATAAATCATATCATGATCAAAAGCCTGATGCAGTTTTGATAGATGCTGATTTTTGTAATGATCAATTATTGTTTAATTAAATTCTTAATAAATTTAAGGAAAATATTTCAGAAAAATCAAATTCTGAGGTCATATCAAATGTCATTTGTTCTCACAATAGATTTATCTCTAGTGATATCCCTAATGAACGCGACAAATATGTTCCGAATGAGTCAACTTCTAGTCACATTCCTGATGTTATTGTATCAGATGTCGGATATTCTCACAACCAATGTATGTTGAGTAGAATCCCTAGTAAGTGGTATGATGAATCAGAGGAAATAGCAAGTTTTCCTGAAGTAGTCAGAAAACCGGTTTCCTCAGATATGTGATAATGTAATAATGTAATGATCGAAGTGTGAGATATATGAAGATAATTGAAATTAGGAACGTCAAATTGTGCATAACATTGTGACGTAAGGACACAACATTATTTCATAGAGGAGGATAGTGTTGAAAAGTCCATCATGCAAATTCTAGATATCAGTGGTTTCACTACAAAACCGGCATGGTGATTGTATACAATTCCAGGACACAGATGAGTCCATTCTGATGTCAGTTATTAATTCTAATACTAATAAGTATATTCTAGATAGTGTAGAGTATATATCCAATACGCTACTGAACAGACATTGAATGAAATTAAGACATCGTACAATCGGTTACAGAAACTTAGACTCCAATTCAAGCTGTGGTGGATGTGGTGTTTGTATGAATTAGTGATTCCTTTGTACTTGATGACAGTTTGATTTCGAATTATAAATACAATACGTTTGTTCATGTTCATATAGTTCTTCTTGGTTATTTCTGGGATTCCTAGTTTTTACGAATATTTTAAACACTCCTAATCATCACAAATGATTAAAGCTTTTCATTTGAGATTAATACGAATAATAAATGGTTCAATTATTACTTACTTACTTTAAGTTGCATCTAACGTATTAGCGTTACTACTAAATGATTATTCACTAGTTTTAAAAATTTCAATAAATCAGTTCATTGATACTCACTGGTTAGTCGATAAACGACCTTAACCTTGTGATTATTGGAGATACATATAACTGGATATTTTAAAGTGCTGAACTTAATTTTTATTGATACTAGGTGAAGAGGGTATATCTCAATAAATAATGTTGGTAATAAAATATTTACTAATGATGGTATCTAACAGCAAAGTGTTTGATAGAAGTTATAGATGATTGCGTGTAATTTAATACCCGTCCACTATTTCCCTGTTTCAAATGTTTTCTATTTGAATTCGATTTGCGGTGCAAAGGCTTTTTTTGGGAATTACTAATGGGAACGTCCTCGACATTCTTCATATAATTACACATATGTAAATATAAATAGCCTTACTAGCCAATGAGTGTAATTAAAATATCAAGTCTTAAGTTAAACTAAAGACACCTGCAGTAGTTCTCGTATATTTCTATGCAGTCTATTTTAATAAACAACCTTATCCATTAAATCAGTCATCTTATCATGACTCTCCTGCGTTCCTAATTTATCTGTAGTCCTGTTGATTATGTTCGTGCATTTTTGTGTGCTTGGTCTGTATGTTTTTTAGAAAGACCTTTCGAACGGCAATGGGTTTCCGACCCCACGCTCAACCCTCGGCCTTTACCCTGGCTTGGGACCGGCAATAACCCTAGGAGAGCTACAGGCAGAATTGGAAGCACATACGAAAAGAATGAATAGTAACTTAAAAGAGCTTGAAAGGAATGCCCGGGACAGGGTTGTATGGAGAGTATGTATAGGCAGCTTAGTCGTAAGCATTTGCGACTGACCTCTCAATCAACGACGGATATGGTAAAGGACTCTATCCCTATGCTACATACATGCTACAACTTTCCCTTTTTCTTTGATATTTTTATCCTAAGCCAAAGCCTCTTTAGGAGGTCACGAGGCCGATGCCCCTTCTAACAACCACAGTAACAATTTTTGTAAGTACATAGAACGTTCGAACAATGTGGGAGACCGGGAAGACCAGTCAAATAGCAACGGAAACGAGGAGATACAACTTGGTAGTACTCGGAATCAGCAAAACACATTAGACCCAACAAAGAAACGAAAATGGGGAAAGATTTGCAAATATGTGTGCATTCAACAAATTGGTCATAGGCAACACAATATTTCTACACAAACGTATACACAAAGCTACATGGATCTCACTGGACCACACCACAGAGAACCAAATAGATCATATTTGCATCAATAAAAATCTCCGAAGGACAATAGAAGATGTAAGAACCAGGAAAAGAGCTGACATAGCTTTAGATCACCACAAAGTTTTGGTCAATTTAAAACTGAAGCTAAAGAAGAACTGGACAACTGGACAAACAGCACTACAAAGGTTCAATACAGCCTTCCTTCGAGATACCGACAAACTCAGTGAATTCAAGATAACTCTCAACAACAGGTTCCAAGCCTTACAGGATATGCTGAACGGACAAGAAACTACTATGGAGAACAACTGGTAAGGTATCAAAGAAGCAGTAACTTCAACGTGTCAGAGGTTCTGGGCCTCAAAATGCATCATCATAAGGAATGGACCACCATAGAAACACTGGACGAGATCGAAGAAAGGAAGAACAAGAAGACAGCAATTAACAACAACCGGACACGAGCAGAGAATGTCCAAGCACAAGCAGAAGCACAAGTTGAGTACATAGAATCATATCAGCAAGTGAGGAAGAGCATTAAAGCCGACAAACAGAAATACGTGGAAGAAGTAGCAACGACGGCGGAAAAAGCTACAAGAGAAGGAAATATGAATCACCTTTATGATACAACGAAGAAACTAGCCGGAAAATATAGTAAACCAGAGAGACGGGTCAAGGACAAAGAAGGCAGGCCAATCACTGAAATTCAAGAACAGCTCCAATGAATCCACCGGACGTCGAAGCAGCACACACAGACCATCCCATATATTTCAATCCACCAACGACGAAGAAATCAAGATGGCCATCAGGCAAATAAAGAGCAAGAAGACCCGACAATATACCAGCCGAAGCACTGAAGTCAGACATCGAAGTAACTACAAACATGCTTCACCTTCCATTCAAGAAGATTTGGAAGGAGGAACAAGTGCCGATGGACTGGAAAAAGGACACTTCATCAAGATTCGAAAGAAAGGAAACCTGAGCAAGTGTGAAATTACAGAGGCATTACACTACTGTCAATACCAGGAAAAGTCTTCAACGAAGTGTTACTGAACAGGATGAAAGACGCAGTAGACGCTCAACTTCGAGATCAACAAGCTGGATTCCGTAAGGACCGGTCGTGCACAGACCAGATTGTGACACTACGGATCATCGTCGAACAATCAATTGAGTGGAACTCGTCACTCTACATCAACTTCATTGATTATGAGAAGGCATTTGACAGTGTAGATAGGAGGACGTTATGGAAACTTCTTCGACACTACGGAGTTCCTGAGAAGATTGTCAACATTATCCGGAACTCATACGACCGACTACAGTGCAAAGTAGTGCATGGACGACAGCTGACAGACGCATTCCAAGTAAGGATCGGAGTAAGACAAGGCTGTCTACTCTCTCCCTTCCTGTTTCTTCTGGTGGTCGACTGGATTATGAAGATTTCGACATCTGAGAGAAACTACGGCATACGATGGACAGCTCAGAACCAATTAGACGACTTGGACTTCGCAGATGACCTAGCCCTCCTATCACATACACACGAACAAATGCAGATAAAGACAGCCAGCATAGCAGCAGTCTCTGCATCAGTAGGCCTCAACATACACAAAGGGAAAACCAAGGTCCTCAAACACAACACGGAGAACAGCAATCCAATCACTCTTGATGGCGAAACTCTGGAAGACGTGGAATCCTTCACATACCTGGGAAGCATCATCGATGAACAAGGAGGTTCAGATGCGGACGTAAAGGTGAGGATTGGCAAAGCAAAAGCCGCATTCCTACAATTGAAGAACATATGGAACTCAAAACAACTCTCAACCAATATCAAAGTCAGAATCCTGAATACGAACGTCAAGGCAGTTCTACTTTACGGAGCTGAAACTTGGAGAACTACTACAACCATCATCAAGAAGGTGCAAGTATTTATAAATAGTTGTCTACGCAAGATACTCAACATCAATTGGCCGGATATCATCAACAACAGCCTACTGT